ATGGGCGATCAGAAGTGAAGGGTGGAAAAACTATCATTGTAATAATTTATCTTCAATTTCTCTTTATTGTACATTATTTTTCCAGGTTTGTGATCTTTTATCTCACTAGTGCTGTTTTATTTTTATTTTTTTTGTAGGTGACTGCATGGACTGAGGGTCACACTTGTACATCTAGCATGAAGAGGAAGACAACTACTCCTAGTGCCAAGTGGGTTGCTTCGAAGGCAGTTTCTATTCTTAAGAGGACACCTGATATGGGACCGAAGGATATGCAAATCAAGCTGCAGGATGATCACAAGTGTGTCATTGGCTACGATACAGTTTGGAAGGGATTGGAAAAGGCTTTCAAGGAATTGTATGGCAGCTGGGAAGATAGTTTTGGCATGCTTTATAATTGGAAAGCTGAGGTAATTATGAGGATGCCAGGTAGTATCATTGAAATTGATGTAGAGGTAAAAGATGGTCTACCTTATTTTCATAGATTCTTCTGTGCACTTGGTCCTTGCATTGAGGGTTTTCTGGAGGGATGTAGGCCTTACCTTATTATTGACTCTACTGCACTAAGTGGGAGGTGGAATGGTCAATTAGCAACAACATGTAGTGTAGATGGTCATAATTGGATGTATCCTGTTGCATATGGTTTTATTGATAAAGAAACATATGATAATTGGAAGTGGTGGATTGCACAATTGCATAAGGCTATAGGGGATGTTGAACCACTAGCTATTTGTAGTGATGCTTGCAAAGGATTAGAAAATGCTGTTAAGTATGTATTCCATATGGCAGAACAAAGAGAGTGCTTTAAACACCTTATGGACAATTATGCCAAAAGAAAACGTCCAAACGCCGACAATATGTATCCTGCAGCTAGATCATATAGGAAAGAAGTGCATGAGCATCACATAGCCATAGTCAAATCAGATTTAGATACAAAGGAGTGGTTGGAGCAACATCACAAGCTCAAGTGGTTTAGAAGTGGATTTAATCCAGCTATCAAGTGTGATTATGTCACCAATAATATAGCTAAGGTTTTCAATAAATGGATCAAAGATATCAAAGATTTGCCTGTATGTGAGCTTGCTGACAAGTTGAGGGAAATGATAATGGTGTTATGGCACAAGAGGAGAAAGATTGGACAAAGGTTACAAGGTAAAATTCTACCAGCTGTTATACATATCTTGAAAGCACAAACTAGGGGCCTTAGTCACTTGAATGTTGTACAAGGTGATTATTATGCTGCACAAGTAGTTGATATATCAGCTGCTAATATAAGACATGTGGTGAAAGCTTACCTACATGAGTGTACATGTGAAGAGTGGCAACACACTGGGAAGCCATGTCAACATGCTTTAGCTCTTATAACACAACAACCTTTCCGGGATGTGATGATGGAAAACTTTGTGAATGACTATTACTCTGTGGAAAGGTTCAAGAATGCATATAAGAGAATCATAGAACCACTTCCTGATAGATGTGGCCAAAACTTGACCTATCATTTGCAATTGGTGCACCACTTGGTAGAAGAAGTGTTGGCCGACAAAGGAAAAATAGAATCAAAGGTGCTCTTGAAGGTGGTCAAAGCAAGAAGAAATCTAATGTTGAAGGAATGAAGACAGAGAAAGAAAAGAAAAGGATCAAAGGACCCACCAAGTGCACAAACTGTGGTCTATTGGGACATAGGCCAAGTAGCTACAAATGTGCACTAAATGGAACAAAGAAAAGGCAAGTTAATGTATATGTATCTATTTTTTTTTTATTATTATTGACCTACTGCATTAGCTAAACCATTCTTGTCTTGCAGGAAGAGGCAACCAAGAAAAAACACCACTAAAAATTGGTTTCCTCCACAGGTTTCAACACCAAGTCCTACTATGCCATCACCGAGGTAACAATGTAACAATAATATACTCTACTATGTAATCAAGTGAATAAACAACTATACTAATCATTTCATGTATATGTAGTACATTTGCTGTGGAGATGGGTGAAGGTACATCATCTCAGCCAAAAAGGAGGGCTACAAGGAAATTGACTCCAAAGAAGAAAAATGCTTCAGTTTGATTATTGTACTAGCTGCTATTTGAACCTTTGAATCATCTCAGCCATGTATTAGCTGCTATTTGAACATTTGATTATTGTACTAGCTGCTATTTGAATCATCTCAGTCATGTATTTGAACCATTGAATCATGTGGTGAATATTGTACTAGCTGCTATTTGAACCATGTACCTGTTGTTATGTTCATTTTATATCCTTCCTACCGAATTGCTCTTTGTTTCCCTTTTTTTTTGGGTTTTGGGAGCACCTTTTTTTTTGT